CGAGAACAAGTGATTCCAGCCTGGGTGGTACTGACCACACTCCTCACGTGGAATAACACACACTGTAAATGTGATTCACATGAAATAACACACACTCTAAATGTGATAGACATGGAATAACACACACTCTAAATGTGATAGACATGGAATAACACACACTCTAACATGTGTTAGACATGGAATAACACACACTCTAACACGTGATTCACATGAAATAACACACACTCTAACACGTGATAGACATGGAATAACACACACTCTAACACGTGATTCACATGGAATAACACACACTCTAATCGTGATAGACATGGAATAACACACACTCTAAATGTGATAGACATGGAATAACACACTCTAAATATGATTGACATGGAATAACACACACTAACGTGTGACTGACATGGAATAACACACTAACCTGTGACTGACATGGAATAACACACACTCTAAATATGATTGACATGGAATAGCACACACTAACCTGTGACTGACATGGAATAACACACACTCTAAATATGATTGATATGGAATAGCACACACTAACCTGTGACTGACATGGAATAACACACACTCTAAATATGATTGACATGGAATAACACACACTAATGTATGATTCACATGGAATAACACACACTCCAATGTGTGATTTACATGGAATAACACACACTAACATGGAATAACACTCTAATGTGACTGACATGGAATAACACAATCTAAGGTGATTCACATGCAATAACACACAATCTAATATGTGATTTATGCAGAAGTTGTTTTTAAGTGTCCTCAGGTAACCTCTTGCCTTGATCTTTGTAATTTTCCTATGAATAATGGATCGTTGACAAAGCTGTGCACTTGGGAGAGCCGTTGCCTCTGGCAACAGGAGATGACCTGGTGAAAGTTCAGCCCAGATCTTGGATAAACACACACTGTTGACTCTGCTGGGGACTGCCAGTGTAACAACATCAATACAGATGTAAAATAATTCTGTTGTTTTATGTTCTCCATTTCTCTTGAAATTATTTTTTGCTTTTTGAAATGTTTTACTTTCAGATTTTCCTGGAGAAGTGCATAATTTCTGTTGCACAAATGAAACTGAGCCCAATCCATTTTCATGTCTGTCAAAACACTCCATTCAGTCTCCCCACTGCCTACCCAGCTGTGCTGAAATGGTTTTTATCTAATGGCCAGTGCAGTGTGAGGGGTCTCTGTGCTTTCTTTCCCCATTAACTCCTCCTTCAACAGGAGAGCAGACCTGCTCCTGGCCCTGCCACGGGGAGGGTTGCCAACAACGCCTGCACGTGCAGACACTCCTCCTCTCACAGAGAGCTGAATTTTGACATGAAGAATATGGGATTTTAACACTGAGCAGGCTTCTTACCACCACACTCAACAATCAGAGAGGATTTTGCTCCCAGCAGAGCCCAGATGAAACCAGAAGGAGCTCAGTGGAGGCTGAGAGGATGCTCTGGGATGGGAAGGTGCCACCAGGAGTGGATTCTCCATCCCGTTTGCGCGGGGAGCTGCGTGTCCCTCCCACCCTGCAGCATCACATCGCACTGCTGCTCCTTACCTTTGCCTATGGAAGTGGCAATTCCATTCATCAGCTGGGACAGGGATTTTCCAGGAGCCCCAGCCAGGCCCGGGGGTGCCAGGGAGTTGCTGCTGAGGAGGTCGATCTTGCCCGCCTGCTGCCGGAACCGCTCCAGCTCCCGCGACAGGAGGTTAAACTGCTCGCTCTGCGTCCGGCATTTCTCCTCCAGCTCCCGCACCTTGGCCTGCAGGACACACAGCCACTGCCACAGCCTGCCTGGCCAGCTCCTGGGGCCAGGGAGCCAGGACAGGCACAGGAGCTGGGAGCCAGGACAGGCACAGGAGCTGGGACAGCCCAGGGCTCCCTCCCAGCTCCCACCCGCACAGAACGCGACCCACGCGCGGATGGGGAACACCGAGGCCATCTCTCCTTCCAAAGGGGAAATCCCTCAGCTTACACCCTGGCAGTGCCAAAACATCACTGCCAACAACACCTGCAAGGAGATCCTACAGCTTTGAGACTTCTTTGCNTGCCCACTTGCTCAAACACGACTTTATTGTTATCAGTGCATTCACACTGGGGATGAATGTTGTCCAAGCAGTTCTGGTGTTTAGACACAAGTGCTGCAGGCCCTGAATTCCAATTCCCATAAAAATCGAAAGGCTTTGAGAAAAGGTTTAGAGAGGAAGGCCCTCAAATGCCTTGGCTGCAGACCTGGCTGTGTTTGCTGTGGTTTTACTCAAGGGTTAATTGGGAGATGTCAGCTGGGCATGTTTTGAAGTTTTTAAAAAGCTTTTTCCATTAGCATAAGTATAAATCATCTTGGAGAGCTTGGCTGGGTACCTAAAAGGTGTTTAGCTGATTTCCATTTCTCATTAAATCAATGGCAGTGATACAGGCTGGACCTTCCCTTCTGCCTAAAGGACAGCTCAATACCTAATTACCTTTCCTTTTAAATTAATTGTTGCTTTGAAAATCCTGTCCTTAGAGACATGAGGAGCTATTGCTGTGGGTGTCAAGGAAATTTCTACCAAATTCTTCTGTCTATCAGGAAATGCCTTGGGAATTCTGCATTTGGTGCCTTTAATGCCCACCCAGGGAAGGCTGGAGCTCCAGAACAGCCTGAGCACCACAGGGGCTGCCAGAGGCTCCAGCCCTGTCCAGGAAACCCAGAACACAAATCCTGAGCCACAGGAACGAGACAGGGCTGTCACCTCAGCTCTCCTGCCCTGGTGTCACACAGAGCTCAGCACCTTCCCTGGCCACAGGGAAACGCCTCTGACCTCCAGCCCCGAAACCCAGAGCTCCTCTGCAAGCCCAGGGAGAAAGGAACAAACTGAGCACTGAAACAGGAGCAAACTCAAACAACTTCGGGGGAATTTGTAACGAGAACAACCTGACAACTCTTCTGATTGCAGGACAGCTGAAGTGATTCCAGCCTGGGTGGTACTGACCACACTCCTCACGTGGAATAACACACACTGTAAATGTGATTCACATGAAATAACACACACTCTAACATGTGATTCACATGGAATAACACACACTCTAACATGTGATTCACATGGAATAACACACACTCTAATCGTGATAGACATGGAATAACACACACTCTAACACGTGATTCACATGGAATAACACACACTCTAACATGTGATAGACATGGAATAACACACACTCTAAATGTGATAGACATGGAATAACACACACTCTAAATGTGATAGACATGGAATAACACACACTCTAAATGTGATTCACATGGAATAACACACACTCTAACATGTGATAGACATGGAATAACACACACTCTAACATGTGATTCACATGGAATAACACACACTCTAACATGTGATTCACATGGAACAACACACACTCTAACATGTGATAGACATGGAATAACACACACTCTAACATGTGATTCACATGGAATAACACACACTCTAAATGTGATAGACATGGAATAACACACACTCTAACATGTGATTCACATGAAATAACACACACTCTAAATGTGATTCACATGGAATAACACACACTCTAACATGTGATTCACATGGAATAACACACTAACATGTGATAGACATGGAATAACACACACTCTAAATGTGATAGACATGGAATAACACACACTCTAACACGTGATTCACATGGAATAACACACACTCTAAATGTGATAGACATGGAATAACACACACTCTACCACGTGATTCACATGGAATAACACACTAACATGTGATTGACATGGAATAACACACTCTAAATATGATTGACATGGAATAGCACACACTAACGTGTGACTGACATGGAATAACACACACTCTAAATATGATTGACATGGAATAGCACACACTAACCTGTGACTGACATGGAATAACACACACTCTAAATATGATTGATATGGAATAGCACACACTAACCTGTGACTGACATGGAATAACACACTAACCTGTGACTGACATGGAATAACACACACTCTAAATATGATTGACATGGAATAACACACACTAATGTATGATTCACATGGAATAACACACACTCCAATGTGTGATTTACATGGAATAACACACACTAACATGGAATAACACTCTAATGTGACTGACATGGAATAACACAATCTAAGGTGATTCACATGCAATAACACACAATCTAATATGTGATTTATGCAGAAGTTGTTTTTAAGTGTCCTCAGGTAACCTCTTGCCTTGATCTTTGTAATTTTCCTATGAATAATGGATCGTTGACAAAGCTGTGCACTTGGGAGAGCCGTTGCCTCTGGCAACAGGAGATGACCTGGTGAAAGTTCAGCCCAGATCTTGGATAAACACACACTGTTGACTCTGCTGGGGACTGCCAGTGTAACATCAATACAGATGTAAAATAATTCTGTTGTTTTATGTTCTCCATTTCTCTTGAAATTATTTTTTGCTTTTTGAAATGTTTTACTTTCAAATTTTCATGGAGAAGTGCATAATTTCTGTTGCACAAATGAAACTGAGCCCAATCCATTTTCATGTCTGTCAAAACACTCCATTCAGTCTCCCCACTGCCTACCCAGCTGTGCTGAAATGGTTTTTATCTAATGGCCAGTGCAGTGTGAGGGGTCTCTGTGCTTTCTTTCCCCATTAACTCCTCCTTCAACAGGAGAGCAGACCTGCTCCTGGCCCTGCCACGGGGAGGGTTGCCAACAACGCCTGCACGTGCAGACACTCCTCCTCTCACAGAGAGCTGAATTTTGACATGAAGAATATGGGATTTTACCACTGAGCAGGCTTCTTACCACCACACTCAACAATCAGAGAGGATTTTGCTCCCAGCAGAGCCCAGATGAAACCAGAAGGAGCTCAGTGGAGGCTGAGGGGATGCTCTGGGATGGGAAGGTGCCACCAGGAGTGGATTCTCCATCCCGTTTGCGCGGGGAGCTGCGTGTCCCTCCCACCCTGCAGCATCACATCGCACTGCTGCTCCTTACCTTTGCCTATGGAAGTGGCAATTCCATTCATCAGCTGGGACAGGGATTTTCCAGGAGCCCCAGCCAGGCCCGGGGGTGCCAGGGAGTTGCTGCTGAGGAGGTCGATCTTGCCCGCCTGCTGCCGGAACCGCTCCAGCTCCCGCGACAGGAGGTTAAACTGCTCGCTCTGCGTCCGGCATTTCTCCTCCAGCTCCCGCACCTTGGCCTGCAGGACACACAGCCACTGCCACAGCCTGCCTGGCCAGCTCCTGGGGCCAGGGAGCCAGGACAGGCACAGGAGCTGGGAGCCAGGACAGGCACAGGAGCTGGGACAGCCCCAGGGCTCCCTCCCAGCTCCCACCCGCGCAGAACGCGACCCACGCGTGGATGGGGAGCACCGAGGCCATCTCTCCTTCCAAAGGGGAAATCCCTCATCTTACACCCTGGCAGTGCTAAAACATCACTGCCAACAACACCTGCAAGGAGATCCTACAGCTTTGAGACTTCTTTGCACACCTGAATGTTGGTTTTGTGCGCTTTCCCAGCTTTCTCCAAAAACCAGGTGCATCTCTGAGGTATCTCTGCACATCTTCTGCCATTAAACTGACACTTCTTAAATTGCTGCTTTAACATTTGTCAAATAAAACCCAACAGGAGCAGAAACCCCCAGTGGCTCCTGCAGAATTTGGGCCCAGCCCCTGGCTGAACTGCCCTTCAAACAACGCTGCTCACTGCAAATCCAAAGCACAGCGAGGTGCTGCGGGCACCAGCCACCAACAGGCCTTGGTGAGCCCGGGAGAAATCCCAAAATGCAGCAGTTTTGTTTGAATTAAAGGCATCAGGCTTTAACACAACAGAACCTAAAAGAAAAGTGTCTGTTGTGAGCTGGGAATCTGCCTAGCCAGAATGAATTCTGAATTGCTGGTGGTGGATTCACCACATTCCCTGGCTGGAAGCCGAGACAAAGGGCACAGGGAGCTCTGCAGGTTGCTCCAGGTTTGACTCCAAATGTGCAAAGAGCAGTGAGGACACTACAGCACAAAACCTCCTTTTATCCAAATCTGCACATTCACTGGGCCAGGTAAATCAAGGGGATAATAATGGATCCAGGTCTGGTGAACAAACATCACCTTCCCTCATTAAAAACCCCTCCTGTGCTTGGTTAAGCAGCTGTACTAACAAAGGAAATCTGGCTAGTAATTAAAGTCGTTCAACTGAACTGAGAGTTCTGCTTTTTTTAAAGGAAAAAACCATTCTCAGTTTGTGTAAGAAAAACTGTACATTTTATATATCAAGAAAACAACATGTATTATGTACCACCCATAAAAAAGGTCCTAGCTAAAGGAAAATACTTACAGCACCCAGAAGAACCCAAAAATCCAAATGTCTACTCTACAGGATGGTACTGTTTGTTCCTGTTCTTGTAACAAATACGGTTTTAAGTCAGAGTGAATTTTAAAGATATAATTTCTTTGCATTCATAACACACAAATTAATTTATTTCTGCACAAGAAATCTCAGGGTATCCATCTGATTAATTATGGAACGAAGAACAGCAAGAATCAGACATTGTGGGAGTCTTACACAAACATGAAATGTTTGGGGTTTTTGTCTTTCATTTTTTATTTTTTCACTGTGGTTTGGAGCAAATGAAATGTCAAACTTTGCTACTTGTTAATTTGCTGCATGAAAATGGTATCTATGCACAGTTTCAAAAGGACATTAAGCAAACAAAGATGAAAACTGGCTTGGGTTTTTTTTGGTCCCCACTTTCCATTGGAAAGCTTAAGGATGAGCTATTCAACTCTCTAAGAATATTAATAACCTTTCCACGAGCAGCTATGGAAACTCTAGCACAAAAAATAAAATAAAACAAAACCATCACAATCCAGACCTCAACAAGAAGCTGAGGCTGCCTTAAAAGTATTTTTGAAGAAGTATTAATATTAACTTAAAAAAACATCTCTATTGCAGTAAATGCCTTTACTGCTGTGTTTTTAGTAGGGTGGTGAGTTAGAAGTGAGCACAAAGCTCATTTTATAAAGAAAATTTGCCATGAGAGCCATGATTGAGCTACCAGGAGTCATCCCCATGCTCATCCCTGTTCCCTGACTCCAGGCATGTCCCTGTTCCCTGACTCCAGGCATGTGCAGCCAGCCCCAGCTCACTGCAGAAAATCTACAGATTTGTGTCTGACCCTGCAGAGCCACGTGTGCTCACAGCCCCAGAATTGTGAATTTTCCCCCTGTGCTGTGGCTCCTGCCATTTAACCTGTGCTCACAGCCCCAGAATTGTGAATTTTCCCCCTGTGCTGTGGCTCCTGCCATTTAACCTGTGCTCACAGCCCCAGAATTGTGAATTTTCCCCCCGTGCCCAGGCTCCTGGTGCTGGAGCTGCCCTGGCAGGGGCTCAGGATGTTCCAGCTGTGCCACAGCTGGGCAGGCTCCGAGCTGGATCTGAGCTGGATCCGAGCTGGATCTGAGCTGGATCTGAGTTGGATCTGAGCTGGATCTGAGCTGGATCCGAGCTGGATCTGAGTTGGATCTGAGCTGGATCTGAGCTGGATCCGAGCTGGATCTGAGCTGGATCTGAGCTGGATCCGAGCTGGATCTGAGCTGGATCTGAGCTGGATCTGAGCTGGATCCGAGCTGGATCTGAGCTGGATCTGAGCTGGATCCGAGCTGGATCCGAGCTGGATCTGAGCTGGATCGCCCCAGAACCGAGGCAGGATCCGAGCTGGATCTGAGCTGGATCTGAGCTGGATCTGAGCTGGATCCGAGCTGGATGTGCCGAGCTCCCAGCGCCCCAGAACCGAGGCAGGCTCCATCCGTGCCAGCCAGCCACTGTGCACACAGGACAGGTGAGTGATGAGCAGCTTTCCAGGTGGACAGGTGTGAATTCAGAGCCCTGGGGAGCCCCTTGTGCTGGGCTGGTGCCCCTCCCTTGCAGCAGCCGGGTGAAAACGTCACGGAAAACATGAAACCTCTGCTTGGCAAAGGAACAATCTGAATTCACACCAAACCCACACAGCCAGAAAGGTACAACCTGCAGGGAACTACCAAACCATTCCTACTGGGCATGCTCGTGAGGAATTGACTTTGAAAACCAGGATTTGAGTTCCCATTAAACCATGCCAAGGTTAATTTCTCAAAGCAAATCGTCCTGGTTTTGGTGATTTGGTAGCAGGCCGATGATGAAGCATGCTCGCAGAACAATGGTTCCAGCACAAATCCCATGCAAGCTCAGGCAGGGCTCTCGTGCTCAAGGGAGAGGTGCAGGACTCAGGACAGGGAGAGGAGAATTTATGCCCTAAAATACCTGCATGCTGTCCAAGGTGTTCTGGATGAAGTGCAAAGCAATAAATCCCAAACAAGACACAGTAAACAAAGAGATGTGAAACAAACAAAGAAACAAAAGCAGTTTTGAATACTTTCTTTACATTACAAAGCAAAGTCCATTAGAACAGCTCCACGTGTGAAAACATGCATTAACACAAAGCACAGAAACCAACACTGCTGCTGATCCCAAACTGCAAAAGGCACATTAAACAAAATGCTAAAACATAATGTGCTCGTGGCAAGAAAAAGCAAAAGCTTTGGAAATCTTGTTGGGGTGATGCAAATCAGAGGCTGCAGACACATCAGCTAAATAAGAATTGTGCTCAGCTTGAGGGGGGTGAATAATCTCTTGCCTGTCTTGTTTGTATTTTCCTGTATCGTATTCTTTCCACCAGGCATTAAATCATAACTTCAGCTTACAGTCTGGGAGCTAAACTAACTTAATATATATGATGATAATGACAGCCTATGAGTAAAACACATTCTGTGGGAATATTAACTTTTACAGATAATAATAAACAAATACGTTAATTTTTGGGTTTTTTTTAAAGTGGATCAATGCACCAGAAAAAAAAACAAACACCTTTCACCAAGGCATGGCCAGCAAATACATACAGAAATACTGTGGGAAGGTAGAAAGACTGGGAATCACCTTTAGATAAAAGCAAATTCTAAATGAAATATTGACAATGCACTTGCTATTACCAATCCATATTTTTACACATCCTTTAGGATACGTACATTAACACTTAAAACAATTTAATGCCTTTTCCTCAGGGAGAAAAATGAAGTGTCCTCTTTCCAGCACACCCTTTGAAGGCTTTTGAAGTAAATTCTCAATTCTTTCATTAAGTTTACAATTTCTGGTTCTTTAACATGTTGCTTTATGATTATTAGACAGTATTTAATTAGGAACCCTGGGTAGGCAATTGGTATTTCCAGCCTAATAAATTAAAATTCTCATCATTAATCACTCCCTTTAATAGTATTTTACAAAAAATGGTACCAAAAGAGAAACATACATCACTTCCCACAGCTCAGCTCAATGCACTCCTAACTGCACCATAAATCTTAAAGGATGCAATTATATCAGCAGAGAAAGAAAGCCCCTCTTTGCCTCCCTGAAATGCTCCCAGGTGTAAATGATCCTGCTCAGAGGGGATTCTACATCCCTGAACAAGCCCAGGGAACACAGAGGGTCTTACCTCTAGCAACTGAACTGCTCCTTCATGTTCCTTCTTAGCTTCAACCTGAGCCTTGTTTGGGAGGAAAAGGAGAAAGGGAAAAAGGGAGAAGGAGGAAGGAGAATTGGTTAGTCATGCCGGGTATAACATGCTGCAAGCACACAAAGCTGTCCCCAGAGCCGCTTGCCATCCAGCAGGGGTGGCTGTGCCAGCTCTGCCCGGCTCTCCCTGCCTGCAAATCCAGTTTATTTTGGGAGCCTGAGTCTCTGCGAGGCTCCAGAGCGGAGCTGGAGCATCACAATCACGCTCAGCACGCTGCTACTCCAGCTCAGAGCTCCTGGAACCCTCCAAATTCCAGCCAAAATGGACCTGGACCCTGACCCTGCAGCCCAGCCTCACTCCTGCCTGTACTCAGCAGTAACTCTGCCTGTACTCACAGTAACTCTGTACTCACCAGTAACTCTGCCTGTACTCAGCAGTAACTCTGTGCTCAGCAGTAACTCTGCCTGTACTCACCAGTAACTCTGGTATTCACCAGTAACTCTGCCTGTACTCAGCAGTAACTTGCCTGTACTCAGCAGTAACTCTGCCTGTACTCACCAGTAACTCTGCCTGTACTCAGCAGTAACTCTGCCTGTACTCAGCAGTAACTCTGTACTCAGCAGTAACTCTGTACTCAGCAGTAACTCTGCCTGTACTCAGCAGTAACTCTGTACTCACCAGTAACTCTGTACTCAGCAGTAACTCTGCCTGTATTCAGCAGTAACTCTGCCTGTACTCAGCAGTAACTCTGTACTCACCAGTAACTCTGTACTCAGCAGTAACTCTGCCTGTACTCAGCAGTAACTCTGCCTGTACTCAGCACTAACTCTGCCTGTACTCAGGGCAGGAGGTGCTGGCCCCTGCAGCACCAGCCCACACGTGACAGACAGCAGGTAGTAGAAAGCCTTGAGTCATCCATCACAACAAGTTTAATAAAAGCTCCCCAGAGCCTGAGCTCTGGGTAAATGATGACAGGAGCTGCATCAAGAGCTATCTCTCCTCGACATCCAGCTGCCTGCTATTAGGGTTTTCTTAAAGGAAAAGATCATCTGAGACCCCATCAGCACAAAACCTCCATGGACAATATTGTGTTCTTCCTTCTAGCCTGAACAATCTGATCAGTCTGTGCATATATTAAAGAGAAAATGAGCTTTCATTTCTATTCCAAACGTGACAATGCAGGGGCTGCAGCAGTGACTGGCTGTGCTCTGAAGGACACATTTTGGGGCTTCAGCAGCAGCTCTACAACATCCCCAGATGTGCTGTGAAATGCCATCCTGTCACTGCCCACACCTGCTACTTCCCTTTGGAAATACTTCTTCGAGTGAAGATGACTCCAATAAAAAAAAAGGGAAAAAAGAATTTAACAGACAAGTACAGGGCCCATTGGGAGGCAGCACATTTAAACATCCTGCTTGAACTGGCAGTGCCGTGTTACAGCTCCTGAGCTAACAGGTTTATTTAAAATATTTATCTGCTGAGCTTGTTGCAGGGGGTGAAATACCAAAGCCAGCACATGTCTGTCACATCAGCTCACACAGGGGTTGCAGGGAGAGGAGAACACAGATTTGTCTCCTGCTGCCAGTCCAAAGGAGGATTTATTAGAAGAATGTAATAAAAATTAGCAAGAAATGATTCCTTCCTTTGATTTCTTTTCTTTGCCAGGAAATTTAAGTCCAAAATTTATGAGGCAGTTCTAATAATAACAGCTGAATATAACTAGAAATGGCATTTTGCAGTGTGCCTAAGTATGCTTATTGAGAAAGACTAAAAGAAAATTAACTGGAAGATTTCATTTGGTCAACTACAGCTTTCTATTTCAAGCAACTATATTAGATACATCTTTTATTCTGCTGAGAAGGTCCCTCCAGTTCTCTACCAAATTACCATTAGCAGCATTATTTCTGTGTTTTAATCTAGTCCAGCAATTGGAAAAATCAACATTAGCACTGAGACAATTGCAGCTTTAAGTGACTCTGGCAAGACTGAAACTCAGCATCATGGTTTTTGTATTACAATGAATACTGAGAAATTGCAGCGTGAAAAAAAAAGTCTTAAAAGTGATTTGTGAATTAGAGAATGACCTTGGAAATGAGGTTTTTAAACAACTGTTCAGTTTCTGTGCTGGGCTGATGCTGGCTGGACAGCAAACCCTTGCCACACAAAATGACATTCTTGAAAAGGAATATACCTGTGATGTGTCAGGACCTTGACAAGGTTCTTTAATCTAATTTACTGGAGAAAAGGTTAGGAAAAGACAGCAATTGCATGTGTGGAAGAGGAGGCCAAGGAAAACCCCGATGTGTCAGTGAGAATGTTAACAGCACGCTGGAAATGGCAGAGACCTCGTATTTTGATGGTCAGGAAATTAAGGCCAGATTCCTTTGTGACATTTAAGAAATGCACAAGTATTACCAAACCAAACATGGGGAGAAGCAAGGGAAATGCCAAGGGAATCCACGAGACTGTGCCACTCTTACCCTTGTTGGGAAACAGAAAAGCTCAGGTACAGTGGGGCCAGGTTAATCCATGTTCTGTGGCAGGAACATTTATAAATCCTTTCACACAGGGAGCTCCTCCTGTTCCAGCTGCAGCAGTGCCAGGGAAGCAGCCAGGACAGGGAGCAGCCTGGCTGGGAATGCCTTCAGCCAGGAGAGCCATCCCACCATGTCCCTGCAGCTCCTGCTCCCACCTGCCTGTCCCTGTCCCCTGTACCTTCTGCAGAGCTCCATTCCTGTCCCTGTCCTGTCCCTGTCCTGTCCCTGTCCTGTCCCTGTCCTGTCCCTGTCCCTGTCCCCTGTACCTTCTGCAGAGCTCCATTCCTGTCCCTGTCCTGTCCCTGACCTGTCCCTGTCCTGTCCCTGTCCCCTGTACCTTCTGCAGAGCTCCATCCCTGTCCCATCCCTGTCCCATCCCACCCCAGTCCCATCCCACCCCAGTCCCACCACAGTCCCATCCCATCCCACCACAGTCCCACCCCAGTCCCAGTACCTTCTGCAGCAGCTCGATCTCCTGCTGTTTGGCGTTGAGGACAGCCAAGGCTTGCTCATGCTCCAGCTCCAGCTGTTGCCGCCGTTCCGCAGCCTCTCGCATGTGCTGTGCCAGGGGAGAACGGGGCACTCAGGGCTCTGCACGGCCCCAGCTCAGCCCCACGGGCTGCCACGGCCAGGGAGGCACGAGTTCCCTGCACACAAAGCTCCCTGGCAGCCCTGGGAGGCAGGAGGGGAGGCAGTGGGTTCAGGAGCTGCAGGAGTTCAGGCAAACTCGGGTGTTTGGACACCAGCCCTGGGGGGATCCGTGGCACGGGCCCTGGGGACACATGGGACAGCAGGACCCATTCCAGCCCCGTCTCAGTTCCTAGGGAGCACTGTGCTGAAAAACTAAAGCCTGGAAAAAAATTGCCTTGACAATTCCCTAAGTGCCCCTTTATCCAGGACAGAGATTTGTTTTGCAGATGCTGACCCAAAAGGAACAGCTTACCCTGGCTGATCTCTGCCTGTTCTCTACACAAAGCGAGACAGAACAGAACCAGCACAGGTGCTTTGGACACAAGGGACTGCACAGGGCTCACAGCCACCCCCTGAAGTGTATTTGATGCTGATGAGCCACAGCAATACCAGACAGGCTCCAGGGAAGAGCACGAGCTGCACCATGTCAAGACACCCTTTGCAGATAGAAATCTTTTTCATTACAGGTTAATATTCCTCTCCCAGCATCACTGCAACTTCCAAACACCCTCTTAATAAACGGGAGTTAAGAAATATCTCTTTCTAGATTCTGATCTCTTCCCTGGTGGAGGTGGTATTAAAGATTTTTATTTTCCAAATGACACTATTCCCATAATAGTCTGAGAGCAGAGGCACTCTGCCTTATCTGCAGCACCGAGTTATTACACACAAGCCCTTTAGAAATCAGCACCTGGGAAAACAAATGCATGGTGAAAATCGACAAGAACAGCCCAAAATATCTCTTATTGTCTACAAGAGAGAATTTTATCAGGCACATTTCTTAGCTGTAATGAGCTGTTATTACCTGCAGCACACAGGCACAGCCAGGCTGGCATCTCAGCCTGGACATGTTTGCAAAAGGAGCAGAAATTTCTCCATTTGGCCTCTGCTTGGGATTCATCCATTTCTTGTTTGATTGTCAAAAACAACAAGAAGATTTCCCACTTTGTCAGTTTTCACCCCCAGCTCTGGCTTGTTTTCCAGGAGTTTTGTGAGGATTTGGTGCTTGTCTGTAGACATTTCTGCACTGCACACTGTACAAAAGCTCACAGGGAATGTCTGTTCTCAGCATTTTATAACGACCAACAAGGATGGCTCTGATTCTCATCTCACCTGGATGAACATCACCCATTTTACCAGCTAGTCTTCCTCAAGGTTTAAATTATCAGGAAGAAAAAGTCTCATTTCCCTCTGTTGAGATTTAGTATCAGAGCTGATACAGCATATTTTGTTACTGTTGAGCTCTCACTACTTTACACAAGCTACTACAGAACATCTCTAGTCCTTTGAAAAGATCAATAAATAATTAATACTGTGAACATACAGTGAATCTATAAAATGTAATGAAGAAACAGATTGTGATCCACGATCTGTGATTTTCCCCAGCATTCAATTCCTGTGGCTCCTAAAACATCTATTTAACGAGGTGGAGTTTGCAGATTTAATGTTGAAAAGGCCACTTGGTGAGCTGTGTTACCCTGGCAGTGTCAGTATTGTCAGGACATTGTCACCACGCTCCTGGGGAAGCAGTGAGGATCTCTGCCCTCCCCTGCTCCACACCTGCCCCAAGCAGCTGTGCCAGCACCGCTGTCCCTGCACTCAGCTGCCAGGACAGGGCACAGAGGGGCTCCTGGGCAGCTCTGAGCTGCTGGGATCCCCCAGCACCTGGCCAGGAGGTGACAGTGACAATCCTGTCTGTGCTGCTGCTGTCCTCAGTGCCAGGCAGCTTAGAACTTCCCAACGTGTCAATTGGCACTTCCCTCCTGCACCCCTTCCACAGCTCCAGTCACACTGCTCCAGCCCCAGGAGGCAAAGCCACAACTGAAAGAGCAGAAAAAATACAGCAGGGGCTCTCCACACCATCACAACTGTCCAGGAGTGCTCTGTCCCTCGAAGAGAGCGAGCAGAAATCGTCTCCTCAGTGGATCTGTCAGACCAAAGGCACCAAAACCCTGCTGGGCAGCAGAGAAGGAACAGGACACAGCCTGCACTCAGCAGATTTCCTTCAGACTGTGGAGTGAGAGCTGGGAGCTCAAACTGCTGCTGGAGGAGCCCTGGGGAGCCTCCTGACACGGTTCTTGTTTCCCCAGGGCACCAGGGACACTCAGCAGCCAGCCTGGCTCAGCTGCAGAGCCCCAGAGCCAGCTCCAGGTGAGCAGAGGGGAGCAGGACAGAGCCCCAGGGACAGAGCCCCAGGGACAGAGCAGGACAGAGCCCCAGGGACAGAGCCCCAGGGACAGAGCAGGACAGAGCCCCAGGACCCCAAGGACAGAGCCCCAGAGCCCCAGGACCCCGAGGACAGAGCAGTCCCTGCTCCCAGGGCTGGCTGAGGAGCAGAGTTAATCCCCACAGCATCAAAAGGCTCATCTGTGCTGGCAGATGGGAGAGCAGCAGCTCTCCAGGGGTGAATGCAAACTCTGCCTGCACACATCAGGAAATCAGAGCCCTTCTCCACTGCCAGCATCCTCAGAAGTCAGCTAATTCAGCACTTCTGCAGCTCCCCTTTTCTGCTCTGTCAATATATCCTGAATTTCTCAAAAGAGAAGCAGAACTCCTTTTCAGACAGGGAAACTAGGCTCAGCATTTCTCAGAACTGTTCTGCAATGGCTGGAAAGCTGCAAGCCATTTTTCCCGAGCACAGGAGGGCACACATGAGATCCACCACGAGCTGCCCCTGCTTGGGCACGGTGCTAGAAAGGAGCTGCAGGGTTTGGAGCCTGCTCCAGGGGCTCTGCCAGCTCACAAGGGCTCTGCTCGGGGGGGAAAGGCACAGACATGAACAGCCAGGATCTCTGAATCCACATGAGAATCTTTTCTTTCAGCAAAGGAAATTTTTGCAGCAGTTCTGCAGCAGAACAGTGAGAGGTACAGAATGTAAAGGCCACAGTAATATTTTGCAGCCAGTTAGACTGGCAGACACAGCTCTCTAAAGCAAAATATCAGAGCAGTTTGTTCGTGTTCTCATTCTCTCTCTCTCTCATTTGGACATAAATAACTGCACAGTGCAAGGGAGGTGCAATTGCTATGAAGTGTCAGAGGTCTCTGAACGTCTCTGCTGGTCTGGGATCCCTGTCAGGACCTGCTGCTCCCATCTGATCATTGCACAGGTCTGGGCAGAGCTGATCAGGTCTGCAGGGATCCCGGACCAGGAGTCATGGACGAGCAGTGGAGGCAGCACTGATGGAATTTCGGGTTTATACACACCTTTAGGACCTGCTCTAGGTTCTCCAGCTTGGCTTGGAGCTGGTGTTTTCCCCTTACAGCCAAATCTCGTTCTTTGGTCACTCTGAGAAAGGTTTCTCGAAGATGGTCATAGTCTGATTTTACCTGGAAAACATAAAATGGGGTTACTGCCCAAACTGCAGTGAATGGAGGCAAACCCACACCTGGCACAAATATTTCTGCATGTTCAGATGAAGAGAGGAGAACTGGTGGAACTTTGGAAAGAGATGGATTAGACACAGGAACGACTGCAGGTATTTCACACAGATTTTTACATCTTTCATCCAGGGTCCCAATGCCCACCTAAATCAGTCAAAGCTTGGGAACACACCAATGGCTCTGATCATTTCTCTGCTTTCTCTTCTGGCAGATCAGCTCTGGAGCAAGGTTTTGGTTCTGAGTACTGGGAAGAACAGAATCAAATCTACCAAACTCCTCCTGATAATTGCTGTTGTACTAATTGAGTACTGTTATACTAATTAAACAGCTAATTACTGCTGTTACTTGCAGAAACACTGATATCTTTTAATATTTCTACAGGATATTCTCGCCAGGACTTCCTCCTCTGAAGATCTTGCATTGCATGGAATGCTGTGCCACACACATTTATATAACCCAGATGGCATCATAAAGCTTGATGAGACCAACATTTCCTTTTTCTTTTTTAGACAACATTTGCTCTTAAATGTGGCTTTAATGCTCTCTCCACGCAGAATGCTCAAGAACATATGGGACATCCATGAACCTGAATTACTCCCAGAGCATATCAAAACATCAACGTTCCCAGTGGCAAAAGCAGCTGACCTAAATAGAGAGCACCAGAAACAGCTCTGATCTCATGGCAGGAACAGGGAACGTTTTGATCTGTGATACTCCTCTGTTCAATTCATCACCCAGTGCATTTTGCATCCTGGATCTTCACTCACTGTGCCCTCCTTGGGTCCATCTGAGGGCCAGGGATCTGTGATGTGATGCACTTCCACAGAGAGCAGCTCCTGAGAACCAAACCCAGGGGCCAGCAGCTCCTGAGAACCAAACCCAGCAGCTCCTGAGAACCAAACCCAGCAGCTCCTGAAAACACCAAACCCAGCAGCTCCAGAAAACCAAACCCAGGAGCTCTGTTCTCGGTGAGGAGCTCCACCAGGCTGATCACCAGCACAGCCCTTTGTTCCAGGGAGCTGCCAGCCCCTGACACAAGCAGCAGTGACCAGAAACAGCCCTGAGAAGGCACCATGGAGTGGTTCCCTGTGGAAATGCATTCTGAGTGCAGAATGCCCGTTGTCCTTTACATGGACACACGGACTCGTTTGCACCCCGATGGAAACGAGCCAGAGCCCAGCGCCACCAGGACACCAAATCCTCCACAGGAATGCACACCTGGATGTGATTCTGTTTCCCTTAGCAGAGCAGCAGCCCCACCTGAGCCAGGTTCAGTTTGAGGTTGATTTGCTGGGCTCCTGGGCCAGCCTGACACCCAGTCCCTCCTGGAGCAAACCTCAGCACTCACTTTGTGCAGAGATGGGCAGGGGCTTTGGCAGTGCTGCAGGAGAGAATTCACACACAACCCCCAGCCCCACGTGCCTGGATGAAGTTGGCCTGTTTTCCAGGCCAGCTCCCAAGGGTGAAAAACAATAAATTAATTTGGGCAGGTTTTCCCCTTCAGGGCTGAGCCCTCTGTCAGAATTCTGCTCCAGCCTCCACATCCAAAGCTGTAGAGTTTCACACATTCTGAACAATAAAATGCAATCTAAAGTGCACAATCTATCCTCAGCCTCTGTGTGGGGGGCAAAAAACCTCAGAAGATCTTTTCTGTAAGGAGCAAAACAGAAGGTTTGTTGCCATCCAGGGTACCTGGCCAGGATTCCATGCTGCTCCACTGGTTAAAGGTGACACAGCACTCACAACGAGATTCTGCTTGCATTGAGGCTGTTGCATGAGCTCAGCAGTGCAAACATCCAGAATTTTTGCTCTGTTCCTTTCACAGTATTTAATAGATGTGAAGAAAGAAGGACCCACAGTATGATAAATTCTGACTTTACAATAGTAAGGGGAAATTTTATTTCTAGGTTAGTGGCTAACGTGACAAACGTTGACCTCTGTATTTTAAATTTGTTTTAGCAGAACTTTTCCAATGCAGCTGAAGACAAGCATTATAATATATACATAAATATATATATTTATATATAAATGCTAGAATAAAGCACTGTCAGCCATGCAAGCTGTGCACTTGCTGATAGTCACAGGACTCACATTTTCAGTGTCACCAAAGCACTGAGCCTTCACTGCACCAATGATGCACACTGTTGTGTGCCAGCTAGAATAGAAAACTGCCCAAGTGAGACTTTATCTTTATGTGCCTCGTGAGGTAGAGAGCAAAGGTAATGTGTAAACAACAATAAAGAGAGGAGAAACACATTAGGAAAGGAAGAAGTTTGGAGACAGATGGATGAATAAAATTAAGTGATGCTGTGGTACACATGGCTGCCTCCTATCATAAATGATTATAACTCTGTCTTTTCTACAAAACCCATTTCAATTCATCAGCAACAGGAGCTGTCAGGTCTGCTCCGACAGCAGGGGCTGCAGCCCCAGTGCAGAGTCAGCTCTGAATTCTGGTGATTGCCCTGGTGACCCTCTGAGCCCCCTCTGCCAGCTCCCAGTTCAGAGTGGCCACGCTGTGTCCCTGCCCAGAGCTCCCAGTTCAGCTGAGCCCCTGCCCAGAGCTCCCAGTTCAGCTGAGCCCAGCCCAGCAGAGCCCAGCCCAGCCCAGCAGAGCCCAGCCCAGCCCAGCAGAGCCCAGCCCAGCCCAGCCCAGCAGAGCCCAGCCCAGCTCCCAGTGCTCCCAGCAGAGCCCGTGTGAGTGAGTAACAGCTCCTCTGATATGAATGAGGTTGCCCAGCAACTCACTTAAGCCCTGCAGAAATCCCAGATTGGAGTTTTATTTTTAGCCAAGTGCAGCCCTGTGAAGTGGCTGGCTCATGATGCTTCTCCCTCTGAATGCAGATGTGCTGAGTGGGGCACATCAGCCTCTCCTCCCAGCAGCCACCCCATGCAGGATTTGCCAGAGATAAATTCACATTGCAGGCAGAGAGAGACCTTTCAGTCCCAGCAGGCACAAGTAACAACTGAGCAAAAATATTTACTGCTAAAATAGTTTTTCTCTCAGGACCTGGAATAGCTGAGACTGTTCCATGTGGCAGGGGAAATAACTGCTAAAGAGAGTTTGGGGCATTTGCTGCTGGACAAGAGCTTTTCAATGTTTTACTGAGAAACTTAAAATTGCAGTTTTAAGATGCACAGGGGTAGGAGAAAATCCCAACTGATGGATAGGAATTCTCCAGAAAAAGTAGAGAATTCTTCAACTGAGTCTCACCAAAATGACCAAAAAAGTCTTTTACCAAAGCCTAATTTACCATACTCAGAAAATACACATCAGAGGCACAATGCGCCTCCCTCCAGCCCAGCAGCACCCTCAACATTCACCTGGAAATCCCATTTGTTCCCGAGGCAGTTTGCTGTGATTTATTTTCAGCTGCCATTCTCCACGTGGAGGAGCAGCAGGGGGAGCAGAAAGTGGGGTCTGAGGTGCCCCTGGGGTTGGTACCTGGGAGGAGCAGCAGGGGGAGCAGAAAGTGGGGTCTGAGGTGCCCCTGGGGTTGGTACCTGGGGTTGGTACCTGGGGTTGGTACCTTGGTTTGGGTACCTGGGGCTGGTATCTGGGGCTGGTACCTGAGGTTGGTACCTGGGTTTGGGTACCTTGGTTTGGGTACCTGGGGTTGGTACCTGGGTTTGGGTACCTGGGGTTGGTACCTGGGACTGGTACCCAGACCCGGCACCTCGAGCTGGCCCCAGGGCAGGGTTCCTGGGGCTGGTTCCTGGGGCTGGTTCCTGGGGCTGGTACCCAGGGCTGGTACCCAGGGCTGGTACCCAGACCTGCCCCCAGGGCTGGTTCCTGGGGCTGGTACCCAGGGCTGGTACCCACACCTGCCCCCAGGGCTGGTACCCAGGGCTGGTACCCAGGGCTGGTTCCTGGGGCTGGTTCCTGGGGCTGGTACCTGGGGCTGGTACCTGGGGCTGGTACCCACACCTGCCCCCAGGGCTGGTACCCAGGGCTGGTACCCAAGGCTGGTACCCAGGGCTGGTACCTGGGGCTGGTACCCAGGGCTGGTACCCAGGGCTGGTTCCTGGGGCTGGTAC